CCCCAAAATTCTCTATCTAGTTGCAATTATAAACAAGATCAAAACACGCATTCTGTTTTTTTTTTTTTTTTGGTCGTGGTTCTGTGAAATCTTTCCTGATTTTAGTAGGTAATATAAAAACAACTTTTATATTGTTAGCAATATTTCAAGATGAATATTTACTGGAGTGAAGCAACTTAATGAACATCAAATATGATACATCAGGCTTTTGAGGAACATTTATTTGTACATCTCCCAATCATCAATGTAGTGCATTGCACTGTATGTTTTGCCCTCCCACAATAAAAACTACAGAGCTTTGATCATAAAAAATAAGCATTTAAATATCCTCTTACTGAGACTTATTAGTATTATATTATTGAAATATTATTATTATTGATCTAATGTTTCTGTGCATTTTATGTAAGCAGTCTGCTACACTGTTATAAAGATCTCATTGATTTTTATTACAATTACATGGCATCAGAATTTTTATCTTACTTTTTGGCCATTGTCACTGCACCAAATTGCATATTTTTTGCTCAGTTTGGGCCTCTGAATAAACTTTTTTTCCCCTCTTTGAGTATGAGCACCATATTCTCCAATATCATCTCCTATATGAGCCATAAAAGTATCAAATGTGATACTCAACAGAAAAACATATGCAATTGTTTTTGTCTAAAGCTTCAGTAAACTGATTAATTTTTTTTTAATTCTATATTTCTGACTATTATTATTGCATACACATGTCAGGCTTTACAGGGTTAAACTGTAGGAACCAATGGTGTCTTAGTGGTCTATCAGAACAGAGCATTATTGCTTATTACAAAACTAAAATGTTTTCAGAAGTCTGTTTCCAGTGATCATAACATCAGAGAGTCACTCCGGACAAAGTATTTTAGTTGTGTGAGGTAAGAAAGAATGTGATAAACACGATAAACACAAGACGTGCATTATCGCCCTATCAAAAAATACAACCCGAATAAGCACCTAACACTATAACCAAGTTAACAAAAAAAGTGTTTATGTCCATTCATGCCTCATAGGCTCTCAGAAGTAAGGCTCTCAGGACTTCCTGAGGAGGTGGCTGTAGTGTTCCCGGCTGCCCAGCAGTCAGGCTAACCTAAAGCAAACATTTGACAAAGCATTTCATCCGTTAAGTTGTGCACAGTTATAGCAACGTGAGAGGGGGTGGACTGTTCTCACAGCTGAGGCAGGACATGTGATTTTAGCACACTCAGCCAAACCTAACACACTAACAAAAGAGCAACAAAGAGCCTGATGAAAACCTATAAAAACATCCTAGCAATTGCTAAGGGTTGCAACCTTAAAAGTTATGAAAATTAGTGAGGGTGGAGAACACAAATGCATGAAAATAGTAATAATAACAGTTCTGTCATGATAACTCTCGGAGGGATTGGCATGGTAATGTACATGACAATGTTAATGTATTTGGTCTTGGCGGAATAGATCTGCTACGCTGCTGCTGCTGCTGCGGCAGATCAAGTACAGAGACTTGCTACTGCCAATACATCCACAACATGCTGCGGTAAGCATTTAAGAAATACTGCTGCTGCATATATAACACATATGAATAACCACCATAGCATACATGAATCACCCCGTAGCAGATCTATACAGGTGGAGCTAGGGAAGGTGGAGGGTTTCTGAAATGCGCTGCAAACTGCTACAGAAAACAAAAGCCAGGTATCTGAATATTGAGCAGTAAGCTCATTGGCTACCGATATACAGGAGAGAACCAATCAGCTGCCATGTGACAATGATGTTGCCAGGTCACATTGAGCTAGACCTATCGGACTGCGCCATCTAGAGTTTCATGCTGCAGTAACATTCTACTATCTACACTTATTTTGTTTCCATATTTATATTGTTTGTTTTCTTACATGTTTGAAAATCTGCTTTATTTCCATACTTATGTTTCTTTATTATTTATCCAAATCTGTTTTGTGTCCATATCTATAGTGTTTTTCGGTAATACTTTAGTATTAGCATGCCTATTATTAACATATTTGCTGTTTATTAGTACTTATAAAGCGCATATTCTGCATGACCATATTCTACATCCCTAATCCTACCCAATACCTAAACTTAACAACTTCATTACTAACTATTAATAAGCAGCAAATTAGGAGTTTATTGAGTCATAGTTAGTTAGTAAAAGTCATAGTTAATGGTTTATTGATAGCAAGAATTGGACCTTAAAATAAAGTGTGACCTGTTTTTCTTAATTGTTTATCTAGAACTGTTTCATTTCTATATCTACTATATCACGTTTTTTTCTTAATTGTTTATGTAAATGTTTTCATACAAACTAAACAAAAATGAATATAATAAAAATAATCAAATAAATAGCACACTGTTGCTTTTAATACTAATAAATTTAACTGCCTTATTCATGAAATTAAATTCTGAGTAATTTGGGTGTAAATTGGACCCAAAAACTATCCCTTGGATTTGCGAACGCTTCATAAACTTTAGATTTGATATTTAAACATGCGTATGTTAATGAATTCCAATTATTGGTAAATAGAGTGCTGTGCAAGATCATTAAAAAAAATCAATAAATTATTTTTAGTTTATCAATGAAATTTATTTTCGCTTTTAACTCAATGGTTAACCAATTAATTGTATTATACTGTATATTATCAATATGGTGCTTATCACATGCTGTGTGGTATCGGCGTTTGGTATCGGGGCATTTTAACGAGTACGAGTACAGGAGACCAGTATCGGGCCCGATACCGATACCAGTATCGGTGCATCCCTAGTAAATAGTGTTATCAAAATGCAATGTCATCAGTTTGCCTAAAAAAAAAACAATTTTGATGCTTTATGCCCAATTTAAGCACAGTTGGGAGCAAGTAACAATTTCATAAATATGAAGATTTACATCTGAATGGCTTTACGAACGATTTAAACACACACACACACACAAATGTATTCTGCCTGTGTTTCAGGAATGATACCCAAAGTGTGCTTTAAGTTTCACAAGGGCAAGCACCACTTAAATTTTCCCTGAAAAATCTAAAAATCTAGTTTGAAGTCATTAAACCTAATGACTTAAAGATTAAAGATGTTTTTTATATATATATATTTTTTTTTTCAAACATAAATGTATATCAACTACTGGTCTATTAAATCATTATTACTGTTTAATGACTTATTAATGAAAGTTAAAAGTGTTACCAGATTTATATCCTTCAAATTTGAGAAAGAACATTCTCTATGAATTCCCAGTATATGAAAGCACTACACTGGTCATTTGAATGAGGACACACTGCAAGAAGATAATTGCTGTGGACTCTTCCTATTGGCTGAACAGCAGTTACATTTAGATATGGATGGGCAGATGGCAGAAGAGACCATAGAGATGAAAAATCAGTGATTGATGCCATGCCGTTTTCTTGTGAAACTCTCTGCCTTTGAAACCTACTGAGGGTGATTAACATGTCTGCCAGGGTCACGTACACACACACACACACACACACACACACACGTGATGTGATGTTAAGTATCTGCGCATGACTGTTCTCCTGTGGCATTATATACCCTTCAAGCATATATTGACATGACTATTATATGACAACAGAAAATTCATTCTTGCATGACTAAGTGAGTCAGGGTACGTGTACAAACGCACATCATTTAAATGATGTAACACACATCAAGCTACACTGTTATAACGCCTCAGGTGGTGACACATATTACTGCTGGACCACTGGACACAGCCTTACCATGCAGTTCATTGCAAAGTGTTTGTGCTGGGTCTGCAGCTCGAGCACATGCTGATGGTTGGGTCCTATCTCTGTGTAGGTTGTCAGGAACAGGCCTTTATTATGGACGATCCAATCGAACATCTGTTGAGAGGAAAAATGGAAGGCATGGACTATGAAATGCTGTTTTTATGTTATTCTTCAACTTCACTCTCATAAAGAAACAGCATTGTACTAACGTTTTTGTGCACCCTCAAAACATGACTAGTGAAGTGTTAAAGGATTTGCTCCTGATTTTGAAACTTCACATGACTAGTGAAGTTTCAAAGGATTCCATAAAGTCTTGCTAATCTTTGGTATTATTTGTTGACTTTTATATCAAATGATTTTGTTGTATTTTTGTATTATTTATTTACATTTTTAAGAAATTCTGACTATTAAATGGACTATTTAAAAACAAAAAAAAATAGCTAGAATAGTATATAAATAGTAATTGGCTTTCCCTGTAATGCTTGTATATCCCTATAAAAGACTGGTACAAAATATTTAACTTACTTTTCAGACACTGTTCAAATGTTTGGGGTCAATACGATTTTTTGTTACTTGTTAAAGGATTTGCTCCTGATTTTGAAACTTCACATGACTAGTGAAGTTTCAAAGGATTCCATAAAGTCTTGCTAATCTTTGGTATTATTTGTTGACTTTTATATCAAATGATTTTGTTGTATTTTTGTATTATTTATTTACATTTTTAAGAAATTCTGACTATTAAATGGACTATTTAAAAACAAAAAAAAATAGCTAGAATAGTATATAAATAGTAATTGGCTTTCCCTGTAATGCTTGTATATCCCTATAAAAGACTGGTACAAAATATTTAACTTACTTTTCAGACACTGTTCAAATGTTTGGGGTCAATACGATTTTTTGTTACTATATATATATATATATATATATATATATATATATATGCGCCCCACAACTTGGTAGCATGCAAATACATGAACACACTAATCATTTAGTATCACGTTGTACTGTTGGAGTGTATTTTTGTTAGGATTTTAAAGACAAAACGTTTATAACATTACACAAAGTTAAATAAATTATAAATAAGAAGTATCTTTATAGGTTATATCTTCCATATTATGTTATGGTCCTAGTCCTATGTTATACGTAAAACTATCCAGTTTTCTCCCTATTAAACTTCACATATAATAATGCATGTTCATACCTTCTCTGCATCCTGCTGAAAGAGTCTCAGCTGGAAGCACTGATCCAGTTTGACTTTGCGCATGTGCCAGGATTGGTGCAGATGTTGTCGTGTGGCGTGGAGTTTATCCAGAAGTGCCTGGACTTTTGGAGCTAATCCCTGGATATCTCCTCTGCCTTTTTCCCCACACTGGATTCGTTGAAGCAGGCGTTGACCCTCAGCATCTAACTCCTCCACAGGAGCTTTAGTAACCTTTTTCTTCAGGGAGGCGTGTTCCTCCATAGCACGCCGAGACCCGTCCAGGTCTGACGGCAGCTCCCGCTGGGACACCAAGTCCTGGAGCTCTTCCAAACGGGAAAGGATGCGAGCTGCATTGCTCGTGAAGTCTTCAAAGGCCACTCGAACTTCGATCCACTCCTCGTGGTCATAATCCAGACTGCCCTCGAAGTCTGGAGTCAGCTGGGAAGGATCAACCACTTTGGTCAAACCCTCAAGGGACACCATGATGGTCTGAAAAGATGAAAGTAGGACACTTAGGTTCATATTCTGAATGTATCAGATTTTTAGATTTCATCTATTTAACATTTCTCATTTTCATCTAGTTTAACTTCATCCTAACTGAAATTGAACCCCATGGAACACTTTACCTATCTACATATGCAGTAACTCTGTATGGCACAGAAACAGTGCTCCAGATTAAAAGACTTAACTTGCAATTGATTTTTTTTTAGCTTTTGAAGAAAGTCTATAGAGTGTCTCTTTAATGCCCTTAAATGCTGCCACTATTATTTATATACAATTATATTATTTACTAATATTTTGAATTGCAATTATTTTATATTTTCAATTTTCATTTTCATTTTAGTTTATAAATATACATATAAAGGCCAATTCACAACGCACAGACAAACACCAACAAACATGTGTGTTGGGTTTTGTCTGATCAGTGTGTTACCCCTGTCGGCGTCTGTTGGCATTGGTCGGGGTTTATTTTTTCTCCTGAGTGAACATGTTCAGTCAGCATTTGTCAATGTCTGTTGGGGCAGTGTGAACATGACAGTCATGTTTCATAAAATTCTAACTAACTAATTAAATCTAACCGTCAGCTTGTTTGTTGGTGTTTGTCTGTGCGGTGTGAATTGGCCTTAAGACATATAAGTATGTCCAACTTTATCCATATACATAATCTCATAGGGCATATATATTATACAGTAAATCTCAAATGCTTGATTGCTTGTATCATCACAAAATGTATACTATATTATTACATGGCTCTAATCAGCTAAATGTGACTATAAGGCATGAAAATATTAAGATACCATAAATATTAACATCAGGATTTTCTGTAAAGCTACTTTGAAAGAACGTGTATTGTGAAAAGCGTTTATTAGTACTTATTCCATGGTCTGTCTGAATACTGGATTCTGATTGGCTGGCAGGTATGCAGTAAAACCGTTTAATGCACAGGTAGTTCCAAGTCAGTTTAATCACTGTTCTATATTAATGTGCTGCTTTAATTGATGCACCACTCATCAATTCATCATTGAATCACTCATCATTGATGCATCACTCGCACACACACACACACACACACAGAGAGAGAG